TAGTACTAACGCTGTAACAGGCTTTTCATCTCCCCTCCTGATCCCGTTTGATGTGTTGTTGTACATTCCAAGCCTAACTCTGGTATTTAAGGTTTGCTGGACAGATAACAACCATCAACCCATTCACCCCGTAAGTCACATTTGAATCTTACCAAATCAATGACTGGGCCAATCCAGTTTAAAATTGTAGGGGTGAATGAGTGAAGTGTTTTCTGAATATTTGAAGAGGGGAGGAAATGAGCCACCAAGAGTTACACCTACTATAGATACTATTACTAGTGATAGTGTAACCAGCACAATGACTGGAAGGATTTTGTATTTAGTGTATGTAAAATCAAAATGCTCCAAGGGAGAGTTGAATTTAAGATGTCTAGGTCAAAACCACAGTTACTATTAATAGAATTTGATAAAATAAAATGAAAATGATTTACACGGCAGCTAATTAGATGTTTGATGTCTTATAGGCATTTTTAGGTTAAAAAAGTTGATTTGGTATGTCATAAATATTCAAAAATAAAATGATCATGATTTTATTATTGCACATCTGTAATCTCATTACCTGTAAACAAGCCATACTTACCTGTAAACGAGCCATACTTACCTGTACTTTACCTCTGAACACTGACCCAGTGCCGGTCATGTGTACACACATTCATCTTTGAACCCTTTGAACTTTTCTCCCACAATGCACTGCTTCATTGTTGATGTTTCACGTCCGTGTATTTCCTGTTCTGAGGACGCTCTTTACGTATATATTGGTTACGATTTATTCCAGTTTTGTGCATTGTCTGTGTTTTAGGCAACCTGAGCGGGATTTACCTCGTCTGTGACGGTTTTGTCATTGTTTGTCGGGGTTTAAATCCCCTGTATAGGTGAACTCATAGGGATTGATCGCGTGGAGAAAAATAGTGGGAAGAGTGTAACATGTTTAAGCTTGTAATGTAGACACTTACAGCTGTAATGGCATGTAGGACGCTCCCCAGGAGATGTGTCCCGACCCCCACACAGGTAGACGCAGGTCACTAACAAGATAAAGACAGGTAGGCTATCCTTACCTGACAGTTGGTATGGGTTTGTGGGTGTTTACGGCCTCGTGACCGGGGCTGTTCTGTTGTAACGGGGGACATGTCTAGACCTTGTTTATGAATGGGTATTATTGTGTTGGGGTTGTATGGGAATCAGCTGGGCTGCTCGGCTGTAATTCCCAACCTTGGATAAACCTATTTATCATTATGTGTCGCTCCACATTCTAACCTTGATTTTATTTACATACTTGGATGCAAGCACAATCTTGCCTATTTTGTAGGTGATTTTCCATTGAAGTTTGTTCAATTTGCCTTTCAGTTGGTTTTTATGCAAATTCCATATTGCCATCGTGAATAGATTACCATTTTATGTTTGCTAAAACGTATTTTTTGTCTATCGTTGCTGTTCTGTTAATATTAAAATGTAAACTTTGATTATGCAATATGCTGATAGAGACCAAATTATCATATATATAGAAAAAAATTAGATTAGTCGCTCTCATCCTTCTCGGGGTTCTTCAGGTTTATTTCAAAAGGACACGTCATGACGTCACGATTTCATGTCATCACACTACAATAGTAGTGTGACGTCACAATGTACGCAAGATAGATGGACAAATCGGCGCATCCCCTATATGTCAAATTAAAAATGCGGGGTTGAAAAAAATTCTACTAACCTGAACCATATTTTCATGAAAAATATTGAAAAAAAATCATTATCCATGGCATGAATTTCTCCTTCAATCATAAAAGATATTGACTAAATCGCAAACTTACATGTCGGATATATAACACGGACAGCTAGTTTATCAATAATTATCAGTAAGTACATATCATGAGTTTGGCAAAAATATTTCAAAGGAGTGAAATATTGAAAAAGTCTTGGGTCGTATTGCAGACGGTTCACTGAAGACCTAAAATGTTACCTACTTACTCTAAATAAAAGGTATCCTCTGATTTACCCCAGAAATGTAGTTATGTTTCTTTTTCTGAGCAGGTATTTACTATACCAAATGTACAGTTATAGTTCAAGGTTAAATAGATAGATAAAATATATTGGTAGAATTTCTGCTCGGGGTGGTACTTAGAATTTCGCCCTGCGATCATTTGGTTGTAAAATATGTAGGTAGTGATCTCTCTTTGTGTTCAAACGTTAAATGATAGGTGGAATGTCTGATTTATTTTGTTCCGATGATTTACTGGTCACACATTCAGGGAGACAAGGGGGAGGGCTAACGGTAGTTTGTCAGTGTGAGGGAACTTTGAGAGGGGGTGTTTATTGACTTTAATGGCAATCAGCTTCCTAATGTTGTAATGCGAGGAGGAGACCGCATGGTCGGATAGTCCTATAGATCACAGAGGTCGGTACAACCTGATGATGTCCTATCATGTCAACTCACTGTATAGCTTTCATTCATAATTATGTTAATGAGGCAAGTGAAATATGTGTATTCAGGGCGGACACGCCAGGTGAGGCAGTCAGGTGTGACAAGATTCACTGTCCTATATACACACACGGAGGTGTAAGGACTCCAGAGCCTCCTTAAAACACAGTTATATAACCCATTGATAGAATGTATCTCGGTTTCACAGAATGAAATCCTGTGTAACCTTTGAAACTGTAATTTATAGGTTTTCGACTTACGACTAGTGTTACCAGATTCTAGACCATCCCTTAACCATTTAATACACTTGAGGTTGGAAAGTGGTCATTTGATCTTTACTTTGAAGACATAAAATCTACAACGATTCCTGGCAATCCCTGTTCCTTGCCTCAACTCTGTGACACAGCGGCACAGAAAAAACAGTTGTCAATTTTATCTTCTGGGTATAAAATGTGGGCAGATACTGCAATTTTCTACTTGGACTAAAAAACGAGCGATATGAAACTCAATACATTAGCATCTTATGGAATGCAAAGGGGAGTTAAAAAATTCCCGTAAAAAAATGGTTTGAACCTTGATCACTTTGACATCGTAATATAAACCGGTGGGTAGAGATTATCGCTATTCTATACGATTACGTAAAAATGCTGCGTTACTTGAGAGGCTGACCTGCTTGCCTAACGAGGAAGGTGTGAACTGGGACTAGAGTGTAGAGTGTGTCTCACCCCTTTCCTCTATTATGACAGACTATTTCTGCTCCATGAAATAAATAATGGATGCAATTATCACTTAAAAAGCATATTATACAAATGTAATGAGAGACTGAACATGGAATCTTCCCGAGTGCACTACTATAAGACATTGTAGCCCATGTCTTCGTAATACTGTCGTCTAGGGTCGGATAATTAGACTTGCTTTAAAAGTCCACTAATTATGAGATGTAAAAAATACCTTCCATCGGAGTCTGGTAATGAAGAAAATTTTCCTTACTGATCAGTGATGAATTATTCCGAAAATGTTTCGGAAATGAACGGGACACACTTTACTTGATTTAGTGTCCATTTTGCTTATTGCTCTAAAAGAAAACTTCTGGTAATTAGGCTGCAAGGATACATATCACGATACACGTATCTGATCAAGAGGTCAACTTCATAGTGAATGAGTGCAAGATTTTATTACGCTTTGTCATAGACGTCTATAGTAAATACTATCGAAATATATTTTTGTATAATTTCTAGTACTTTTGGGTATGATTGCACAGTGGACCACATCTTTACTGAGAGATTCAAAAAAAACATAAGTCCGCATTTTTAGATTTTGATAACAATAACAATTTGATAAGATAGACAAGAAAAAACTGCGATATATTGTTGCAGTCCTAATCTGTAACTACAAGTTTTATATATCATTGTGTAGTGATCCATTTATTTCTCTACTCACATTTACACATTTCGCCAAAAACATCTGGGAACTTCAACCACTTCATACTAAGTGGTCCATTCACATTTGCCGACATATCAGCCTGTATCCCATATTCCAACCATTGTGTCTTTATCCATTTAGCTCTCTCATTGTCCGCTCCCTCCTTATTTGTTTAGTGTCAGTTTGATTCTCTTACCAATCTTGTGCTATTATCCCCGAGTCTGATGGAATGATGTACCATGTTGTAGGCTAAACCAGGATCAATTACGATCTACATGCAGTACCCATCCGTCAGCGGTAGAAAACCTCATTTGACCGGCATGTGTGTCACACACCTGTGTCTTTTACCTTTTGTGAGAGTAGAGAAAAAAATACTACTAAAGGGACACAACTCTTTGATTTAACCTGTCCAACCATAGGAAATATAAATATATACACACTAATCAGGTGACCGCAGTAAATTTGTCCTTTTAATCGAGTCAAATCTTACAGAGAAGTGTTATTAATTTCATTTTGGTCCAGCATAGCAGTTGTTTAACCGTTTTACCTCTAGACCATAATGAACTCTTCTAGATCAATGCATGGTAGAGTCGATTGAAGTTACTTAGGGGTGAAAGGGTTAAATCAGGAAATATCATAACAGTATCTTGAATCTTATTTTTCTATACAATTTAACATTTTTAAACACACTTGTTTTCTAACCATAAATTTGAAGCATTTTAAGTCAGCTATCCAAAGCTTTCCCTAATGGAAGTACCGGCATGCTGTACACTTCAGTTCTCTTAAATGTTAAACATTACTTAAGTGATTTTCTACTTAACTCATTCACCCCTGAAATTTTATAATGTAATATTCGAACCTTTGAATTTGAAGAGTTCAAATGTGTCTTCAGGGGTGAATGAGTTAAAATGAATTGCTGCATATTTGACCTCTGCCAGGATCAGTAAAAGAAAATGCTTGCTGTATCCCACTGCACGTCATAAAGGTAAGAGGGGACAACTACGGGTCCGTGCAAAATCGGAACTTGTTTTCGATTTTGATTGTTGACATGTATATTGGTGACCAAGATTTTCATGTGTTTCGTATTTGTGTTTTAGGCCAACTGTCCAAAGTGTGTTGACATGTATTGGTGACCAAGATTTTCATGTGTTTCGTATTTGTGTTTTAGGCCAGCTGTCCAAAGCGCGCCATGATCCTAGTATGGTGTACCGTGAGCTGACCGGGGCGGCAGCTGACCACCTGGATAGGATGGCCGATGCTCTGCAACAGCAGCAGGACATGGCGGCCATGCAGAACCGCATCCCCAATTCCTTCCGGGAGCCCACCACTGCACCGCTCCGCAAACTCAGTGTTGACTTGATCAAGACGTACAAGCATATAAATGAAGTAAGTACATCACTTTGTTAAATGTCTGATAAAGTACGCCAAGTCCGCTCCGCAAACTGAGCATCGACTTGATAAAACAAGTAATAGCGATGCTGCAAAATGAAAAATCCCTAGTATTCAAGATAATATGCATACATACAATTTCAAATCCAATAAATCTCACTTTATTTTTTTTTACTGTAATGGAATTTTGAGAAAATTAATTTTACAGCAAAAAAAGATAGAAAATCCTTCGAAAGATTTAGTTTTAGAAACCCAAGTTGATTCGACACCGAATGCACATATCTCATGAAAACTTTATATCTGCGTGCGAAATGAGAAATATATATATAGATATGCATATAAGTATTTTAAGTACACAATATCCTCTTTGAAACCATCACTCACTGCAGCACACACCCACACTAAACTCAAAGGATTCAAAAGCTTTATCAGACCTATCTTCATTGTTGAAATTGAAACATATTTCATTTTCCGGCCAGTCTTATGCAATTTCACAGATTCCCTATGATCTAAATATTTATAGAGTCTCCGATTTCTTCACATTACAAAATGAATGCAAGTTCGTTTCAAGCTTTGGGCTAAATTTAGAAGAACAAGTAAACACTAGCATATGAGGCAAGGCTTGGTTTAGCCTCTGTAACTAAGGCAGACGTGTTGTCAACGTTTCCTGCTAAAAATAGACTGCTGATGCTTAAGCTGTAATGAAGAGGAATATGGAGAAGCCAGTGGAGCTATTTTTAGCACAAGTGATGTTCAAGATGTTCAAGATCTTTTGCAGATATAACCGTCTGATAAGACAGTTTAATCATATTTGATTTACAATGGAAAAATAAGTACATACCTAGCAGGAGAAGAGAGGAGGGAATTCAGAACGACTAGAAATACAGTATTAATGAACCCTCTGTTAACTGAACATCACAGGAAGCAAACCTTTTGTTCAGAATATAAAGGTTTTCTGATTATTCTGGTTCACTTATAACATGTGCTTACAAATACAGGTATCCAGATTACACAGGTCAGTTTACATCAAAATTATATACAATTGTACCTAGTTGAACGTCTAGTTTATACAGGTATCCAGATTACTCAGGTTCAGTTTAAAAAGAAATGTATACAGTTGGACTAAGCTTACGGTCTAGTTAATACAGGTATCCAGATTGTTGTATTGGAACTGGGACCTAGCTGAAGGTCTATTTTATACAGGTATCCAGATTACACAGGTTCAGTTTTGAGGCTTCGGTTTATACAGGTATCTATATTGTATACAGTGGGACTGGGACCTAGCTGAAGGGCTGGTTTATAAAGGTACCCAGATTACACAGGTTGTGTCTGGGTAGATGACACAATAACTTAAAATAGAGAATTAGACGGTGACTGCTGGGTAGATGACTGTAACTTTACCACTTAGTGTGTAACAGGAAACCTCCTGATGACAGACGTTTATGAAGACAGATAAGGTCATGACCCTGTGAGGTCACCTCTGAATTTGTCATCCTGTGTACTTTTTCACCGAAAAGGGTATTTACCTGGACAGGGGTATTTCCTGTAAACAGTCCGGGCCACTTCCTGTGTGTGAATCATGTCTGTATCAAAACTTAGGTAGACAAAGACTGTCATTTTGCCGCCTTAAACAGGGTAAGACTTTTTCCTTGGGGTCATATCGGGCTTATCTTACGGAAAACAACGGACATCAAATGGAAGATATTGTTCAGTGATATCGCAATTCAAATAAGATGCCCTTATATGGTAGAGAAATAATGAAAATGGAAATAACAGATATTTAAATAAGGTGAAACATGAATGAAAACATTTTTAAGAATACTCTAAAGTTGTTGCAGAACGTTTTAAATTGCATTCTTTAAAATGCTACACAATACAAATTAAAACTTGACAAAACCTAGGACAATCTTACACCTACAGATGTTACTTTTAACTCATTCACCCCTGAAGACATTAGAACTCTTCCAATTCAAAGGTTGGACTAGTTCATTATGAAATTTCAGGGGTGAATGAGTTGAGGCATTATAATTGCACTGCATCAAAATGAGAGACGAATACCTTGAAAGGGGAAGTAACTCTAAGCCAGAAAAGTTCATTTTCTTTGCTCCATCTTCTACTTATAGAAAGAAAGGAAATTTAAATTTAAATGGTAAAAATTTCAATGTAATATATGTACAACAACAAAAATTATCACACAGAGTGCTAATTGATATTTGAAACTGGATGATAAATTGATATCTTTAAATAAAAATGGTTTAATGCTTTCCAGATAGATTCTAACTAAAGTATCTGCGATGTAGACATAAGCCTGGTACGTGTGTGGCACACACAGAGATGCGCTAGTCAGGTTTTGCTTACAAGGGTAACACAGGCTAGAAATCAATATGTAATGCATGGTGCAGGCCATACAAACTAGATCAGTGCAATACAATTTAGTGCACCGAGGTTAGCACTAATAGCCCAGCTTTGATTGTTGACTGGGACTCTACACTCTCTGGCCTCCTGAAGGTGTTAATTACAAACAGATGCAAACAAAATTTTGATTTTTTTTTAAAAATCATATTCAAGTTCCTAATGCACTTGTGCTCTGTGTTACCGCTGCAGAAATTGATGCAAAGAAATTTTCGTGCTATATCAGGGATCAATCTAGACTTGATTCACTACGGTTTATGTGTAGTTTCCCCTACAGAAAAAAAATATCCTGTCCTTTGATATTCTCCCAATTTCAACAAAAAAAGGCAGTTTTTCTTCAAAAGATTTACCCTATATGTGTCTTCTTTAAACAGCTAAAATGTATAATACTGCATATATGCATTTTCTTGACATAATTAAAACAGAAATTCTACAATTTCAATAATAAAATTGTTTTCAAATTGAAATATACGGCACACCATGTATGTCGGACAAAGCATTTATCTTTTACCTTCATGACGCTAGAGCCTTGTATCAAAAATTTTATTTCCCCAAAATCTGAAAAATGGTAGTTTCCCCTAAAACCTAGATTGATCCCTGACTGTTCATGCTGTAATAGGTGTCGATATTGGCAGTAGGTGTCTTGATACTGCTAAACATTTGCCCGCCCTGCCTGTGCATCACCTCTGCACAAATCTTACCACGTTTTGCAAAGATCAATATTGTCTGGGAGGAAATCACGTTGTCCTGGTTACCAGTCTATACAGACGGAATTTCTGAGAAATTAAGGAAAGTAGTAGTGAGTTAACGGTGCAGAGATTGTCCCGAGCAGACAGGGACCCCCTCGGCCAGACGACCACGAAGCTACAGGGTCAGACAACGTAGGTAGCGGGAGAGAATCGGCCAAACCTCGGGGCTCACACTAGCAAACATAAGCAAGGTTCGGCCATAATCTAAGGTCAAGCCTTACTAGAGGTCATCTGTTTTAGTCTGCAGACAGTCGGCTAGTTCCGTCTCTATCAACCTCACCGTTATTTTATGTAAATACATATACATCAATTAAAATGAATTGACATTAGATAAATTCATTTGAGTTTCGGCAAATTACAGACCTCAGCCTTAAATTTTGATGTAAGAATTACGGGGTATGCCTACTGTTGATGAATGTCCTTGAACTTGCTGTATTGATTTGTATTGGTAATCTAAGCCATACAGCCATCAGATGAAATTATATTGTGCAGCAAATATGTAGCTAAATGGGATATAGACACCAGGATAATTAAAAACGGTCTTTTCGCCTTTCTCTTGTCGAGACTTGTATAAAATCAAATCAAATGGCTCATTTTGACTTCTAGTGTTTGTCCAAATCATTTTTGCTTGTAATCATAGACCGGGATTTACTGAGGCTATTTTTCAGCACAAATTCGGACCTATTCCAAATGGAAAATTTTGCTTTATTCCTAATGCATTAACTTCCTGAAAAAAATATTCCTAATCCTAAAAATAAAATCGTAACTCTCAGCTTGTATTCATATGACCATGAAACAGCAACATCTAAAATGAAGTAATATTTTTAGAAATAAGAATGATTTAGTTTTCTAGATGATACTTTGCAAACAAATCAGTATTCAGTGTAATTTCAAAAATTCCCAGCAGGCCCCATATGGAAAATAGTGAGGAAAGTCCTGTAGACTAGCCATGTTGTTGGCCATTATTGATGTCACAGATTTTACCTTGATAGACTTGTATTTATATATCCTGATGGAGATCACCTGACATTCAAGCTACAATGTAACACAGCATGTAATTGCTGAATGTAAATAGAAGATTAAATAGATACCTGGCTCCCAGTGAAAATCGTCCATTTACATATCAGATAGAGGCGATTATGTATTGACAGAGCTGTCGGACAATGTTCAGCATGAATCTGTGTATGGTAATTTCTGTCAAAAAGAATTTATGTGAATAATCAGCAGTGGATGATAACAAAAGCTTAAATGCAAGAAACATAAGTTATGATTTATAGATAATGTATCTGTAGACAGAACGATGTTTGGAGGTAAAGTCATGATATATAGATAATGTATCTGTAGACAGAACAATGTTTGGATGTAAAGTTATGATATATAGATAATGTATCTGTAGACAGAACAATGTTTGGATGTAAAGTTATGATATATAGATAATGTATCTGTAGATAGAACGATGTTTGGATGTAAAGTTATGATATATAGATAATGTATCTGTAGAGAGAACGATGTTTGGAGGGAAAGTTATGATATATAGATAATGTATCTGTAGACAGAACAATATTTGGAGGTAAAGTTATGATGTATAGATGATGTATCTGTAGACAGAACGATGTTTGGAGGGAAAGTTATGATATATAGATAATGTATCTGTAGATAGAACGATGTTTGGATGTAAAGTTATGATATATAGATAATGTATCTGTAGACAGAACGATGCTTGGAGGTAAACTTATGATGTATAGATAATGTATCTGTAGACAGAACGATGCTTGGAGGTAAACTTATGATGTATAGATAATGTATCTGTAGACAGAACGATGTTTGGAGGTAAAG